TCAAAGGCAAACACCAGAGAATTCCCTGAGAAACAGATGCCATTAACTCTGGGGGGAGCTGTGCAGCCATCCAGCAGAAGTGAAATGCCTGGAACTGACAGCAAAGGGGCAGAATTTGAGATGACAAAGGAAGAGAAACCAGTAACTATGTCAGAGTCTCTGGAAGAGCCCAGTCCTGAGCATACATCTCAGGAAAATGAAGCTGAGAAGAGCAGAGCCTCTTCACCTGGTTGTCCATACAGGACAGATGATCACAATATGTTTTCTTTACAAGAAACAGAACCTCAGGACACATGTGGCCCACTGAAAAGTAACACTAATGAGGGTATTCGGAGACATGATACTAAATCATCTGGCAGGGATTTTCTAGTATCAATAGACACAACCCTGCAAGGAAATTGTGCCACTTGCCCCTCACATGATGAAGTCAACAACCCCAAATCAGAGGATTCCAGGGAAGTTCTTAGTGAAAACACCTTGAACATTTCTGAGCAACCAGCCAAGACATCAGAATATTCCAAACCAAATACATCCGTGGATAAATCCAGAGGCCATCCAGTAGGTGAAGAAAAAGTGGACCTGAAACTTCCAGGGGAAAGCAGTGTGTCACAGACTGGTACCCAAAGCAAGGAGGCCAGAAGCAGCCGAGGCTGTAGAGAGACATCAGGTAAAGGTTTCAGGCTTGGGAAAAACCCCTTCATTACCCTTTTTGGCTCTGAAGACAAAGGCAGAACTCCCAGGAAAGAAACAACCCAGAGGAAACCCACGAAACCCCAATCAGCCCTTGCCACTTTGTTTGGTCACTCCTCAGAGAAGAAGCAGAGTCCACGGGAAAAACCTGCAGGATCCTCAGAACAAGCAAATACTGATGGCAGGACAGAAAAGGCCCAGGGCGTCCTCAGCATCTCCAGCCAAGCCAAGCAACATGCCTCCAAGAATGATCAGCTGCCACAGCCTGGAAAGACAGAGGTGTTCCCTAAACATATCCAGGAGAGCTCTGGAGGATTCTCTGGCTCTGCTGTGGGGAGGGAGACTGATGTCCTGTTGTCAGCTCCCAGCACAGCCATGTCACATGAGGACAAATGTGAGAGAACTGAGCTTGACATTCATGACCAAGTGTCTCTAAATAGTCAGGTTTGGCAGCAACAGGACAGCTGTCGGCCCCCTCTCATGCCAGCACAGAAAATTCAGAAAGAATTTGCAGGAATCTCAAATCATGGAACAAACCCTCTACAGCTTCCTCCAGAGCTTGTGCCTGCAGCTGACTACAGCAAAAATCTCACCAGAGAAGGGAATCATCATGATGCTCACCTGCCAGGATCCCAGAACCTGCTGAGTTTGGATGTTCAGGACACAGTGGCACAGGATGGGATATTTTTTTCACCAGGCAATTCAGAAAAGTTTTCCAAGGATGCTGAGCTTCAGTTCAGCAACATGGATTTTCTGGGGGGCAGTAACTTTTTCTTTTCTAGAGAACAAGATTTCCCCAGTAAAGCAAATAAAACTCCAAATTCAGATTTGCAAAACTCAGAGGCAGAAACTCCACCTTACTTTGATCCAGATGCTTCAGATTTATTCCAGGAAATCTCATCAGAAACAAATGCTTCACTAGAGCTCTGGGACACCTCCAGCCTCTCGCTTCTTGATGGGCAGGATGAGATTAATATTGGAGACCTGGAAGGGATTCAGAGCTGTGAACTCCTGCTGCAGGTGGATCCACAACGCCAGGCTCCAAAGGCAGCAGAAGAAATGTTTGGAATGGGTGTCAGTGCTGAAGGCTCCACAAAAAAACATCTCCCTACACAGGATGACAATTTTCCCTTAACATACATGTTCAGCACCTGTGCTGCTGAAACCTCTAATCAAGGTGTCTTTGATCATTTTGATGTTGATTCAACCAAAGTGGGCCAGGAGGCTTCTGAAAAAATGAGCAGGAGCAGAAAAACATCAGGTAGCAAAGAAGATTATGACAGTCTGTCTTCCGAAGACTTGGAGATGTTAAAGTATGACCTTTCAGAGAAGGAGTTCTTTATATAGGTAGAAAAAAAAAACAGGTTAAAAAGACCACACAGCCTCCCCTGCAGCACAACTTAGCTGAAAGGGGACCAAAAGTGATTCTTGAAATCAGCTGTACAATGATAAGCAAAGAAAAGTGAAATTACCTTGCAAAGGTCAGAAGGGCAGAGGAGGAACATGAACCCTGGTGTCTTGAAGTCTTGGGGTGTGGGGACATTGCTAAATCTGATTTCCCTGTGCCATTGCACTCTGCTTCTCCCTGACTGCCCTTTGCATAAATATTGCATAACATAAATGTTATAGGAGTTAACAATTATACTAATGATAAACAAGCTCAAGAAAAACCCCAGAGGGTCAAAGCATAAACATGTGCACTATGAAATGGGTCATAGAGCATATCAATACACATGTTTTAATCTGCTATCTGTAAAAAACAAATAAAAATAAAGGTATTAAAATTATTATTTTTTTTAATATTTTTAAAATAGAACAAAATAAAATTAAATTAAATTAAGATAATCAATATAAAATAAAATAAAATAAAATAAAATAAAATAAAATAAAATAAAATAAAATAAAATAAAATAAAATAAAATAAAATAAAATAAAATAAAATAAAATAAAATAAAATAAAATAAAATAAAATAAAATAAAATAAAATATACCCCAACAATCTCCCTGCCTCACCTGTGCCAAAGTAACCCTGTCTCTGTCAGATCTGCTGGAGGAATAAAGCTGCTTAATGACTGCATCTGCTGCAAAGCAGTGTCAGTGCTCTGTGCAGGGAAACTGCTCAATCAGCATAAATCAGGGAAAAAAGGGATGTCCTCGAAATGTATATGACTCATCAAATGCTGAAGTCAGTCTCACCTTGGGGTGGGCCAAGGGGCTGCTGTCTCAGAGCTGTGCCTGAAACCTGGCCAGGCTGTGTTTGGAGGTGGAGATGAGGCTTGCAGAGATCAAACACCTCTCACTGGAGCAGTGGGAAGTGGTCCTGTCACCTGGGCAAGAGGTGCTCAGAGTGATGCCCCAGATGAGTTGTCACCACCAGATGACACCCATAAACCTGATCTCTCCCTGCCAGCTCTGAGAGGAATAGGGAAAAGGCAGGAGCACCAGAGTCAGTGGGTATGAATCCATTTCCCCACAATTCACCCCAGCACAGAGGTGTCCAAAGGGGTCTCCAGCCACTGTCACTCCTGATGTACAGAGAAAAGCCAAGTCCATGAATTAATGTGTCAATGCTCTATTTCCTGCACGAGGCTTCATTCCCAGGCAGTGGTTTCTCCTGAACTTTTCTAGGGTGCTCCACCTCCCTTGTCCTTGACAAGGATGTACAGGTTTCCAGCTGTCCATCCCAGGCATTCCCTGGGACCTGCTGGTTTCTGATGCCCCTTGACAGAGGCTTCTCCATTTTCAAGAGGCTTTGCAAGCCTCAGTAATCCACCTGAGCAGAGCTGCTGGACAGAGAGAAATAAGCCCAGAATCCCTACAAGTGGGGCTCCAGGAAACAGTCTTTCTCCCTGAGAGATCTCCACCATGCAGGATTGACCCACTCAGATGATGGAGACAGTTCTGAAAACACCTTTCCATGAGGAATGTCATTTGAGGGTGATAAAGGACTGAAGCTTCCTCAGGGCTTCAGAAGAGCCTGTCTGGTCATGGCTGGAAGAACTGCTTTAAGGAAGGAGTCACATCTGTATTAGCACATGGAACTCAGATCTGAGTCACCCCCAGGGAGATTTTATAGCCATAAACTGGACCTCTGCCACAGAAAACGCTGGGGGTTGAGGAATGGGAGGGAAGACCATGAGCCACACACAACAGGGTGAGCCTGAAGACTTGAGCTCGTTGCACACTGATAGAGAAGGAAGGATAGGTACACAATGTCTCTGCCAGAGCAGATCTCCTCAGCCAAGTCATCCCACCAAAAGGCCAGACATGGATTTAGGGTAAAAGGGATCTCTGGAAGTCATGTAGCTCAGCCTCCTGCTCAGGGAATGTCTCTGAATAACAGCAAGTCCTCTCACCCAAGGATGTGAATGCAGAGCTGAGTGATGTTTGGCTGTGTGGTGTGTGCAGATGATAAATGCACAGCACTGGTGTGAATTTACACAACTCTAAGTAACATTTACTCCTCTTTTCCCTTACCCTGAACAGCACTAGCCAGTATGATCTCACTCTCCCACTCCTGCTTAGGGGCTGATGCTTTAAAATCCAATATTCTTCTCCTTTACTGATTTTCATAAGCACAACAGAGCTATTCCTACTCATGAAACACCAATCCAGGCTTGTGTGACCCAGGAGAGACTTTGTTGGAGGCTCAGATATGCTATGGGTATTGAGAGGAGATTTGAAAGAGCAGGTTAGTGATGTGTCCTTATCTCTGGTAAAAGCAATTAGGAGGTCTGGTAAAACCAACCTTTACCAAATTACACACAAAATTTCACACACTGAGGGCAATGCAGCTACCCAGTTTACCAGGAATAAAGATACAAGCCACTCAGGGAGTCTACCCAGGAAGCAGCTTAGATATTCAGCAGAAATCAGGTTAATCTGCTTTTCAAGTGACATCAGAACCCCAGGCCAAGCCAAGCTGGTGTCATTTCCCAAATCCTGTGTGCACTGAATGTCACTGTGTGTAACGTGCTGCTTTCCCTGAGGGTACTCTCTAGGCCAGGTCTATTTTAGGATTATCCCCAAGAAACTGCAGTTTAGATCTACTTTTATGACTAACAAAGGTTTCTACAAATGAAAACAGAGAGCTTGGGACACAGCTGTCAAGACCAAGTCTACTTGGACTAGCAGCCATATTTCCTGATCCAGAGAAGTGTTCTTCTGCTTCTTACATATAGTCTCCAGGATACATTATATAGTCACTAAACCATTAAAGGGAGAAGCAAATTTACTCTGTTTGCATCCCCACACCCAGTAAAATTAACCCTCATTTGTAAAATCCCAAATTCATGCCTCAGACAAAAAACCTTGTGTTGCAGCAGAGTTGCCTTCAGGTGGCCTTGTGCCACTTCTCAGGCTGGAAAAGGACAAGATGTCACTATAGTGTCTCCAAGAGTGGCAGTGCTCTGGCACCTTTGTTCTATTCCCAAGAGCAGGGAGGGAATGGCTGGTGACAAAGTGCATGCTGGAGGGCTGCACTGTATCATCATAATGGACTGCTGTGCCAGTACAGGTGCTCATTTTATCACACTGGATTAGGGCTTTAGTGCTCACACAGTTTAAACATTAATATTTGCCTATTTAAGCCACAGGCACCAGCTCAGCCTGCTCACAGAAGTGCTCACCATGGCTGAGTTTGGAGATCTTTTATGTGCTCTGGGGGAGTGTGGGCTCTATCAGAAACTGCTGACCCTGCTCCTCTCCCTCCCATTACTTCTCAATCCATTCCAAATGGTTGGCCAAGTGTTCATGGTTGTGAACGTGCCTCACCACTGTGATACCAGCTGGATCCGCGCCGTCGGCCCCAACCTGACGGAGGAAGAGCAGCTGAACCTCACCCTGCCCCGGGGCACGGACGGGGAGTTTGAGCAGTGCTCCATGTACTCCCCAGTGGACTGGGACCTCCAGTCCATCGTGGCCTATGGGCTGAATGACACCGAGAAGTGCATCAATGGCTGGGTGTACCCCTCAGATCAGCCACCGTCCCTGCTCACCGAGGTCTGTATTTGCTGTTTGATGAGATCGGGGCATGGAAAGGAGGGGGTGGGAATAGCCTGGCCTGTGGCTTGGTCAGCTGGTGCCAGCTGTGGTGAGAGGGGTGGGAATAGCCTGGCCTGTGGCTTGGTCAGCCAGTGCCAGCTGTGGTGCAGTCATGTTGAGATTTACTGCAGGGTTTTACCTCCATCACGCAGATGGCAGCTGGAATCCCTGGGAGGGTGTCACAGGAAGGCCATGATGAAGATGCCTGGGGAGGGCACAGGCAGTGACCATGGGGTGTGAGCCCAGCACATGTTCTGCTCACCACCTGTCCCTTTTCCAGTATCCAGACCCTTGACTTCATGATGGATCTGCCTGGAGGGGCCTTTTGGCCATCCCTGCCACAGTATCCCCTGTTCTTCAGCCTGGTTCTACTCACATCATCTTCTCTGTGAAAGACATTTACCTTCCAAGTGCTTTTCATTGATATTTCTTGGCCTCCTTCAGGGCTGCAATAAGACATGTCAGGGGCCATGCAAAAGCCTTATCAGCATCCTCAACTTCTCCATTCTGCCTTATCTCCCACCTTCTACTTTACATGATAGTGGTCTGTCATACTTCTTCTTGGAGGTCTTTTCCAACCTAAATCATTCCATGATTCTGTGATTCTCCCTCTGTGGACCTTTGTTCCTTTCTCACTTTCCCTCACTCCTCCTCCCTTCTTTCTTACCTGCCAGTCCAGCATTTTCTCATGAGTACCTTCCTCTGAGGTGGAAGAGAGGAGAAAGTCCCACCTCTGGCATTTGCAAAGGCTCTTTGGTGTCCCTGAAGCACCAAGTCCATTTCAGACAAGGCTTCTCTGGAGGTTTCAGCAGCTGCATCCCTTCCCATTTCTATGCTGGTCCTCCTTTATCAGAAAAAGCACTACTCTTCTCCTCTTTTCACCCTGTCCTGTCTTCTCAGCCAGAGAAGAAAGCTGATGCAGCTCTCACCTCAAGGTCACACTTTAAACAAAACTTTCCAACCAGGCCGCTCCCTCAGGGATGTTTGGGCTGGAGGGGAATCCTGCAGATCCCAGCACCCAGAAGATGTGCACCAGGTTGCAGAGGCATGCTGAGAACCTCCTGTGCCCATCCCACCATTGATTTGAGTCCTAAGTACTCACCATGAAAGGTTCAAGCCCTTGTGAGGGGTTCTCTACTCCCAGGGGCTGAAGCAAGTGCTCAGGCACCCAGATCCTGGATCCACCATGAACCAGAAAGGCTGCCCACCTCCACAGAAAGCAGCTGGCCTCTGTCAAAAGCAACAGCATCTCTGTTTTCCTTCCCACAGTTTGACCTGGTGTGTGACAGGATGGTCCTGAATGATGTCTCCCAGTCCATCTACATGGCTGGGCTTCTCATAGGAGCCATGGGCTTTGGGATGCTGAGTGACAGGTGAGGAGACACAGTTCCTTCCCAGAGACACTGCCCAGCACCCAGGGACAGCCCAGATGAGGGTGCAGACTGTCCATGCACTGAACAGGAACTGCTCCCTTCACAGGACTCAATCCCCTTGCCTGAGATAGGGCATCTGGGGCCACCTGTGAGGTCTGGAAATGTCTGAGGGTTGAAAAGAGAGGTAAATACAGCCTTGTGGAGGAGAGTTCTTCAGGAACCATGGGTTTAGCCCCTTCTGGTGTCCCAGGCTTTGCCAGAACCATGATGGGCCATCACTGGAGACACGGATTTTTCTGCACATTATTTTATGGGGTGTATAGAAGAGCTACGTTCACATGGCTGTCAAATCTCCTCTGGTTCTCAAATCACTTTGCATCCCTTCTTGGCTCTTCTCTCTCCCCTTGGGGTGTCTCCAGGTACTGACTGGGTCTTCCCTCTTCTTCCACAGGATAGGCAGGCGGCCAGTCTTTCTCATCTGCATCTTCCTCCAGAGTGTGTTTGGCCTGGGAACGGCCTTTGTGCCCCATTTCTATGTGTACATGGCCTTCAGGTGTGTCGTGGGAGCTGCGGTATCAGGAATTATGATTACAGTCGTATCCCTGAGTGAGTGGGAAGCCCCTGTCCTGAGGCAGCAGATGTGGCCTCACAAGATACAATAACAAAAGAGAGCCCAAAACAAAGTCTGAACCTTTGTTTTTCCCCTTAGTTACAGAATGGGTTGGTGTCGCTTACCGGACAAAGGCACTGCTAATGACTCACACGGCCTTCGCCATCGGGCAGATGATGGTGGCTGGTTTGAGTTATGGGATTCGCAACTGGAGGCTGCTGGAAATTGTAGGATCTGCTCCTATGTTTGCCCTTTTCTTCTTCATCTGGTAAGCAGGAGCAGGGCAGAGCTTCTGGAAGACACAAAACTGATGTGAGGGGTGGGAATGAGGAGGTGGCAGCAGCTCGGAACCAAGCTGGGCCTTTCCCATTGGAGTGCAGGTGCTGGAGGAGCTGCTGCAGAGCTCAGCACATCTCCCTGGGCACTCGACTGCTGAGAGCAGCAGCTGCTTTGCTTCAGGTCTTCAAATGTAGAGCCTAAATTTAAATTTTACCCTAAATACATTTTGGGTATTTAGACCCATCGATCCCATGGGCCATCCACTTTAGAGGTGGGCTTGATGATCCTCGCGGGTCCCTTCCAACGCAGAAGATTCTGGGTCTGATTCTGTGGTGGCCAAGGCTTGCTGGACATGGTCCCAGAGAAAGGGGCTGTGGGGGGACTCAGCAGAACACAGCAGCATGTCCTGGCCTCCTCCTGGCAGGGTGCTCCCAGAGTCAGCTCGCTGGCTGGTGACCAAAGGCAGAATCGAGGAAGCCAAGAAGGTTCTGCAGAAGGCGGCAGCCATCAACAAGCGCAGCCTCCCACCAGAGCTCCTGGAGCAGGTACTGGGGGTTCCTGTGCTCAGACACTGCCCTGGGCCTTGCAGCAGCCCCTGGAGCTCAGTTCATCCCACAAACATCTCTCTGTTCCCACTGGGGATGCTCTGGCCATGGGCTGCAAGGGACCCCAGCTCCTGCTGCATCACACGGGGATGAGGCCAGGGAAAAGGCCCAGCTTCTGCTGAGGCTCAGCCTGGAGCTTTCTGGGGTCCCCCTGGGCATGTGGGAAGGACTGAAATGCTTCCCTGGCTTCTCTCCTGTCAGGGTTCCAAGAGTGTGACTGATGAGCACAGAGTGTCTCTTTAGACTCAGGGTTTCCATGCAGAAGTGCCTGAAGGGGAGGGAGTTCCCTCCTTGCCCACCCCAAGGTTCCTACACTGGGGAAATGTTCATCCTGAGGAACCTCTCAGTCACCACCCCTGTGCTGGGCACCCAGAGCACAGAGGCACCAGCCCAGCCCCACTGGGCTGCCCTCCCTCCCAGAGCTCTGGGGGTCACAGGCCTGTCCATGAGGCTTTCCATGGTCTGCAGGTGGCAAAGGAGCTGGACATGGCTTTCCTTGTCCTGCTCTGACTCTTTGACTTCCTGTGTTTTGAAGCTGAAGCCTGAGAAAGAGGTTAAGTCTGGAAGTTTCCTGGATCTCTTTCGGAAGAACCTGCGGAAGGTGACTTTAATCATGTCATGTGTCTGGTAAGACATTTCCTGGTCCCCTTTCTCAAAACTACTAGGTGAAAGAAAACAAGCTGATTGTTGACAAGAATGGTAAATTAAAGTGATTTTCCTGGTAAGATACATGTGTATGTCTTTACCTGCTATCATTCACCTGCACATACTGGACCAGATTTATCATGTCTGGGCATGGGAAGAAGATGATTATCCATAATACTGTGGGTTTTGTTAGAAAGGCTTGAGCAATTATTGCTTTGGCTGTCCCTGGGCCTTGGAGTAATTTTGTGCCCATCTAGGAGCTTTGGGCTCAGTTTAGAATTTGCTGGCCATATGGAGATCCATTCTGCTTTATCTCCTGCAACTACATCCAGCAGAACTGTCAAAGGCAGTGACTAGAACCAGCACAGAGATCATTGGGAGTTTAAATAAGTCACACGTGTTCTAACCTTTCTAATTGCTGGCTATAAACCCTCATAAAACCATCTGCTGATGTGTTCTATTCCACTTTACTTCAATTTCAGGTTTGCAGACAGCATTGTCTACTATGGGCTGAGTCTCAGCGTTACAGATTTTGGCATGGACATCTACCTGACACAGCTGGCCTTTGGAGCAGTGGAGCTTCCAGCTCGAATTTCCTGCATATTCCTGCTGGACTGGTTTGGGAGGAAGAAAGTACAGGGCATTCTGCTGCTGCTGTCTGGCGTGTTATGTCTCATCCTCACTGGCATCCCTGAAGGTGAACCTTCCCAGCCTGTGAACAGAGCTGGGCAGAGCCCTGGACATCCCTACCTTTGCTCAGCCCCATCCTCCCATCGTGGCAGACCCACACTCACTCCCACAAGCTCAGATGCCTCCACTGTCACAGCCCAGGGTGCTTCATCCCCAACATTCTGGCTTCCCCTCACCTTTGATTCCTTCTCCCTCAGGGCTGTGCCTGGTTCTTCCACAGCTCCTGGCCCTTGGCAGGCAGAGTCCATTAACCACCACCATGACATAACCACGTCCTGGCAGAAAGGTGTAGCAGAAGAACTGCTTTAAAAGTTACCATGTCTCACTTTCTTACATGAAGAGGAAAAGCAGATGCCCACTCCCCCTCATCTGTTTGCATCTGTTTGTGCCCCAGTCCATACCCCACCCCTGCTGCTGTGCCAGTGCTGTGAGTGGGACTGAAGGTAATAGTGGGGCTTCCCAATGCTTCCCAGGTCAGGGATGTGGCATTTCCAACCAAACACTCCCCAAATTCCTGTGGTGGCTCAGCAGCTCGTTTCATTTGCAAATCTAGAAATGCCCAAGGCCTCAGGAGAAATCTGGCTTCTCTTTGCCAGAGGGTATTTTCCAGGGAAGGGTTATGCTGGGGATCATTTCCAACGGGTTAGGTGGTAGGTTTGCTTAGCAAGTATAATAGAAAGAGCTGTCCCAAGAAATCCCACTGCAGAGAGTTCTGGTCCCAAGTGAACCACCCCCTGGAGGTCACAGTGGTTGTCTCTGCTCCTCCCCTCAGACCAGCCCATGGCAACCACTGTCCTGGCCATCATTGGCAAGTTCACATCCACCGCCGCTTTCTCCACCTCCTACGTCTACGCTGCTGAGGTCTTCCCCACCATCCTCAGGTGAGATGTCCTCACACATCAGGGCTTCCTTCTGCCATGGCTGGAGGTGGTGATGGGGCCACATTCAGTCCAGGAGTGTTGACCCCTGCCCACACCTCCTGCTGCCCTTGTCTCCCCAGGCAGACAGGTGTGGGGCTGTGCTCGACCATGGCGAGGGTGGCCGGGATCCTGGCCCCGCTGATCATTCCCTTGGACCAGTACCACCGGGCCATCCCCATGGCCATCTTTGGGAGCATCCCTGTGGTGGTAGCCCTGTTCTGCATCCTGCTCCCCGAGACCCGTGGCACTGACCTGGCAGATGACACAGGGAACGACCAACCTCCAGCTCAGGTGGGTACAGGGAACTCTGAATTTAAGGAAATGATATCCAAAACTGCAAATTTAAGGCAAAGAAAAAATGACAGAATCAGGGATGAATATAGTCTCACCTCCTCCTCTCTCCTTCTTATCTTCAGGAGCAGAAAACTGAAGAGTTTCTCTGAGACACCAGAGATGATGACAGAGACCTGGAGAAAGATGTCTGCAGATGCTCAGAGAGCAAGTGATGACTGGACAGGCATCTACTGACAGTCTAGTCTGATTCCATCATTCTTGAAGCAGACCAGGGAGGCATTGCTGCCTGGAAACTGGTCTTTCAGATGATAAACTCAATACCCACAGTCACAGGGAGAGGAAATCTGTATCACAGATTTGGAACAGATGCACTTCCAAGTGTCCCTGAAACCCAGTTTGGTCATGCCTGGCTGGCCTCCCAACGTGTTCCCCAGTCCTTTGCAAGCTGGTACCCGTGGAACCATCCCTGTCGTGTTTTACAGCAATAAAGAATCACCAGTAGAGTGGCTGTACTGGGCAAAAGCGGGCGCTGGGTTTGTCCCTCCTGCACTAAATCCCTTGGGTCGTCGGGCTGCGCGCCAGCCCAAGCCTCGACGTTTGATCAGGATGTCACTGCACCCCTGTCACACACCTATTTAGCTTTTCTTTCCATGTGGTGTTGAAGTTGAGTTTCTACATGAATAATATAAATTATGCTCTGAGTTTGATAAGAGACACTTGTAATGCAATATGTGAATAATAAATGGTGTTGACTCTTTTTTTTTCCCTACTGTTTCACAGTTGGCCTTTGTAACTGCTCTTGGCTCTGGAGTGTTTTCTACACAGAAATTGTAAGTCTGTAATTTAGCACACAGATGGAAACGTGCTTTGTTTCCATCAGACACAAACAATGCAAAAAATGGAGTGTTAAAACAGAGTGACTGAGTTCAATTAGGACTTTTTTCTTTTTTCAAAGTCTTCAGATGAACAATCTGCATTTATTTTCTCTACTAGCAGCTGTAGAAGTTTTCTGAATTGCATGGGAACGCTGCAATTCTATGCCAAACTGTGTGGGCATTTGGACAGCTTTCCTCAGTCATGGTGAGCCTTTTACAGTGACCTTTAGTTCGCTGCTGCCAGCTCAGTCATGACATTTCAGTGTCATCTGGTGTCATGCAAAACAAGAGAAGGGTGGCTTCTTCTTGTCTGATAATTTGTTTGCCAGCAGAGGATGTATTTCAGTGGCCTCCGATGAATCCATCTCCGCAAGTACATCACTACTCTCAAATAAGTAGAAGGCTGTTCACTCAGATTTGCTGCACCCTGTGGTTTCCAATCTCTTTGTGCTCTAGTAAATAGTGTTTTGAGGGCTGGGGCATCCCAAGTCCAGGCCAGATGTGCCTGGAGCTGATATTCATTTTGGGCTTTAGCTTTGGTGCACAAAATCACCCCAGTCATGTGGAACGTGGCCATGGCTGGAGATGAAATAGGGAGTTTGCATGATCTGGGCTTTAGCTCTGAGGGGAACAGAAGTGGGGAAGGGGCTGGAGCACCTGGAGCAGCTGAGGGAGCTGGGTGAGCTCAGCCTGGAGAAAAGGAGGCTCAGGGGGGACTTTCTCACTCTCTACAAATCCCTGACAGGAGGAAGCAGCCAGGTAGGGGTTGGTTTCTTCTCCCAAATACAAATGACAGGACAAGTGGAAATGGCCCCAAGTTACACCATGGGAGGTTTAGATTGGATACTCGGGAAAATTTCTTCTCCACAAGGGTTGTCCAACACTGGAACAGGCTGCCTTGTCCACTGGTGGAATAACCAGGGGTATCCTCAGGGGTATCTAACAGACACATAGCTGTGTCATTTAGGGATGTGGTTTTATGGTGGGACTGGCAGTGCTGGGCTGATGGCTGGAGTTAGTGGTCTTAGAGGTTTTTTCCACCCTAAATGAACCAATGATTCTATGGCTCCTTGCACAGCCAGGAGAGCAACTTTAATGCTCATTTCCTCACCTCCTCAGCCATTCCCTGCTGGGTCCCCTTTGCAAGCTTTGCTCTTCTCATGGACCTTGGGCTTCCCAGCATGGGGTCATGGGGTCAGGTGAAAGGAGAGGGTGATGTCCTCTAGGTAAAGGGGAAGGTCCAGGGTCCTGACACCTCTGCCCCACAGCCAGGATTTCAGCACAGTTTGTTGGTGTCTCTGACACTGAAAATGTGCCAATTACCTCAGTGGTCCCTGTGGGGCTCCTCTGACAACAGGAGCTGTCTTGGCCCTGCCTCTGTGTCTTGGTGTCTTGATAGGACATTCGTGGTTGGGTTCTTTTTCCCCCTTGGACTTAGATTGCTGAGAGAGAGGCAGTTTTCTCTTGTTTGGACTTGGTTGTTTATTGTTCTTTTATCTATATTGCATATTTACAGAGTACAAGGAGCTACGTGCACTAAGATAGAAAGGTGCAAAATGGCTAACAAAGATCTTCTTCAAGGTCTTTTATATGTTTATTTACCCAGTTAACAAATGCCAAATAAATTATTTTCCTGAGTGACCCAATGACCCAACACCTGTGTGCTGCACTGCAGCATCTCTATCCAATCACTTATTACTACCCAAAAACCTCTGGAAGAAGAGGATGAAGAAGAAAAAAGGACGAGAGACAACACCCAGAATACTCCATCTTGTCTTCTGTTTTCTAAACTAGTTAAAACTCCAAACTTTAACTTTTTCACCCAGTGATTTAAGAAAACATTCTAATCTACACACACTTTTAGCTTTTCTATTTAACTTTAGCAGTTGTTTTCAGGGTGTGATATGAAATTCAATGTTTTCTTGGATGTCAGAGCCAGGTATCAGAGATAAGGGCACACTCTCTGTGCCTCTGACTCCAACATCTTGGGGCAATTTTATGATGACACTCTATTCCTGAACATCTCCTTTATGTCCAGAAATGGCTGCTGTACTTTCAGGTTGGTCTGGGGGATGGGTGTGAGTCTTGGGGGCTCCTGCACAGGCTTTGCTCAAAGACTCACTCCAGGGTACGCTGGGTGCAGCACAGAGTGGATGTTACTTTGCTGCTGTCTTGGTTTAGAGACAAATTCAGGAGAAAACACTCTGGAATTAATGTTTCCTCCAAAGAGAAGGGCTTCAGTAATGCCTTTTGCCAATGGGAGAAATTAATACCACTGGATGAAAAAAAAAAAACAAAAACCCCTGTTTATTACAAAGCAAGGTGCCCACAAGGCACAGAAAAAGACTGAATAAATGCTAGATATTTCTTTTCAGAACCTTACCCCCCACCCAACAGAAAAACCTCAAAATACCCAGGGAAAAAATAAACAAGCTGGCTGCCTGCATGGCTGGGAAGGCAAAAATGGCAATGGCCTTTTGTCTCAGGGAAGGGGAAAAAAAAAGAGTTCACATAGCAGCTTGAGCAAAACAATGGGAACCTGCTGAACCTCTGGGGTTGCTCTCCTCCTCACAGCAGATGAAGCTGGTGGGTTTTGTTGTCCTTTCTCTTGGTTCAGCTTTTTTTTTCCCAAGGTGTCAGGCTCAGAGCAGCTCTCTCTGGTCCCCTGCAGGTCCTGGTCCATCTCAGCAATTGTCTGATTTTGGACCAAAAACCAAACTGAAAGAGGTCAAGAAAAAAATCTGGAGGATCACTGCTGCAGGTCAGGGGAAAAGGTGGGGAAAGAAAACAAGAAACTTTGTGTTTAAGCTACCAAAAAGAAAGTTAGTTAAGCAGCAAAGTGACTGCCAATGTCCAGCACACTGCACCGAGCACATCTGGGGTGAGTCTTTGAACAAAAACCACTCTGGGGCTCCCAGCCCTCCCTCCAGATCCATCATAAAGCCACAGCAGCCATTCCTGGGCATAAAGCAGACAATTAGGGAGTAGAGCATCATCATAAAATCACCCCAAGACAGTTGCTTAGCTAGCTTGTTTTTCTGGTTAGCTTAAGCAAGAAGGTTCTTTTTTCCCCTTTTCCTGGCCTGAAGAGACTGCAGCAGCAATCCTTTGCTGGTTTTTGCTTTTTTTATTGAACTGTTCAGCTTTGTTTTGGTCCAAGATCAGACAATCACCAGAAGCCTACCAGTCAGGAATTCAGGGGCTGCTCTGACTGACTCAAGACCTTGGGAAAAACTGAACAAGAGAAAAGACACCAAAATCCACCAGCTTCATTTGCTGTGGGGATGAGGCCAGCACCGGAAGTTCCACAGGTTCCAATCTGTTTTTCCCAAGCTGCTACATGAACTTTTTTTCCCTTCCCTGAGACAAAAAAGCCATTTTGCTGCACAGCTGGACTGTTATTTCTTTCCCTGGCATTTTGGGCTTTTTTGTTCTACAGTGGGTGTGCACTGGGGATAAGGTTCTGATGGTTCAATAACTAGAGTTTATTCAATTTTTTTTTCCACTTTGCCACGTGGGAACTTTGTCAATAAATACTTTTTTTTTCACTTTCATCCACTGATATCCATTTTCTCAGTGACAGAAAAGGGGATTACTGAAGCCCTTTTTCTTTAGCAGAAACACTCATTCCAAAGCATTTTCTCCTAAATTTGTCTCTAAAATGAGACAATCTGCTTTTCCCAGCTAAACCTCTCTACTCCATTTTGTCCTCATCACCTCACCAGTCTTTTGGCTCCCTTCCTTTAATATGGAATCATCCTCTTTGCCTTGGTTATCCCTTAAGTCACATTTTACCCTTTGCCCATGACCTCACAATCATGAGAGCCACTGTACGCATGCAAAAAGTGTATTTGCATTCCCACAGGTTTATGTTTGCATTCCCACATGGTGCTCCAGCACTCCTGGCTCCACTTTGTGCTGTCACCTCTACTCATCACAGTGCAAGGCCATTGGCATTGGAAAAACATTGGACATCCTCCCACTTGTTCTGAGCTGGGCAAAATATGAGTTAAGCTATTCAGGTGCTCTTCTTCAGGGGTATTCAAACTGACACGGTTCAGTGATCCAGAGAGAAGCAGATAAAATATCATACAGAGCTGTTGGAGTGAGTCCAGAGGAGGCCACAAAGATGATTAGAGGGACTGAAGAACCTCTTCTATGAGGAAAGGCTGAGAGAGTTTGGGTTGTTCTGCATGAAGAAGAGAAGGCCCTAAGGAGACCTTAGAGCCCCTTCCATTGCCTAAAGGGAATCTTCTGAACCTCTGGCTCAGAAGAGCTCAGCAGAGCTCAGCTCAGCTCCTGGAGAGGGACCTGGGACAACAGCATGGAGTGACAGGACAAGGTGGAATGGCTTATAACTGACAGAGGGGAGATACAGATTAGATGTTGGGAAGGAATTCTTCTCTGTGAGGGTGGTGAGGCACTGGCACAGGTTGCCCAGAGAAGCTGTGGCTGCCCCTGGATCTCTGGAAGTGTCTAAGGCCAGGCTGGACAGGGCTTGGAGCACCCTGGGATAGTGAAAGGTGTCTCTGCATGTGGCAGGAGGGATTGGAATAAGATCTTTAAGGTCCCTTCCCACCCAAACCACACCAAGATCCCATGAAATGGATCTTCAGCCCACTGGAGGCACAAACGAGCTGGAAGCAGAAATACATCAGCTGTGCTTGGATGCCTTTATTTATGAAATGAGCTAAAACAGAGAGTCTCAGAGTAAAATTTCCAAAGTGGTTCCTTCAATAACCGTACATTTGGCTCCAAGCTCCTCCTTCAGCCTTTACTCTCAATGTCTTGTTTTCCATAAAAGCCTGAAGGAGGCACTCCCCAGCCTTTTCCAAGGAAAAGACAAAGGGCTGAGCTCCTCTCTTCTCAGGGTACTGAAGAGGAGCACCACCGAAAATCCTCTGGAAAGCAGTTCCAGAGAGAAAATGGCACCACAGCCAGCCCCTCCTGGCAGGACATTGTCACATGGCACTGGTTTTATCCAAAACTCTGATCAAACTGAATGTCCATGAGGTACTTTGGTCCATGGAAAACATGTAGGCATGACAATAGAGAGAAGAAATACTCTGGTTTAACATTTCTTGACACTACTAGAAATAAAAAAAACCTTTGAGCTTTACAGTCAAAGATGAAGAACCACCTTGATGAACCAGGCTTCATCTATACCCATCCAGTGAGAAACAAAAGTTGGACTGAGGGACATGAGATAATATGAAGGGAAGTACAGGAAAAACATATTTTTTTCTTCACAGTATAAGAAAAAAGTGGTCCTAAATATTTTAAAGACAAAATAGATCCAGCAAAAAAGGAATAGATTAGGAGAGAGTAGAAAAGAATTGACATTTCCCAGAAAGATTTGTACTTTTTTCTAACAAACCGTCAGAGCATCCCTCAGTTTCCTGGAATGGACAAATCAATTTGGTCCCACACTGCAGCCTAACAGCACCATTTTCCATGCCCAAAGCATCATGACAGGCATCAATTCCAAGCCACCAGCACTAAAGTGAAAATTCTGCTTCTTGTTAGATGATCACATCTTTTTTTTTTTCAGCAGAGTTTCGCAAAAAAAAAAAAAAAAAAAAAAGAAAAAAGAGAAAAGAGAGAAAAGGGAAAAGGGAAAAGGAAAAGGGAAAGGGAAAGGAAAGGGGAAAGGGGAAAGGGGAAAGGGGAAAGGAAAAGGAAAAGGAAAAGGAAAAGGAAAAGGAAAAGGAAAAGGAAAAGGAAAAGGAAAAGGAAAAGGAAAAGGAAAAGGAAAAGGAAAAGGAAAAGGAGTGTTTTTATGAAAGAACGGAATGATCTTGCTAGACAGTCATGATAAATCACTCCTTGCAAGTGTGAGATTGTTTTCAGTGCTGCATCTGCTCCAGCTCTCCTGTTACTCAGCCCAGTTCTTTCTTGTAAGTTTATTCAGTGCTCTCATGGGTGCCTCACTGGACAAAGTTTACAGCCTCATCATCCTGGAGACGTAACAGGGAAAATGAAGAGGAAGTGCCTCATTCTAATTCTCAATTTCTTTCTTTTTTTTCCCTCAAGGAAAAAGCACCCAGTTTGCTCTGGTGAGAGCCCTGTTGGACATCAGTGACAGCCTGCAGTGCCTGAGGACAAGCTACAGAGGGAGATACAGGAAGGCAAAAGAGACAAGGAAACCCAAGAATTGGCAGTGATGGCCTAAGCAATGATGGTGTCCTGTGGTGAAGAGACCCTGCCTGTCCTCAGTGCCCACAGCACTGGGCTGCCTTTATCCACAACCACCTGCAGACCCAGCTAGAGGTGCGTGGTCTTCGTGCTCTCATTGTCTTGGCCACCACCTTTTCCTTTCACCTCCCCATTCTGAGAGCTGCTGGTGGCATTTTCGCAGACCTGGTGAAAGGGAAAAGGGTGTAAAAGCAGGGAAAGGTGTGCAATGAGCTGACAGCAGCTGTCCCTGGGACAGGCAGCCTTCAGCAGCCTGGATCCCATTCCCTACTGCTCCTGTGGGCACCTTCTCCCAGCAAGACAACAAAAGTATCAGGATGCAATTCCACCTGGTTCCATGGGGAATGAGGGCTGGGAGCTATGAGAGGGTAAAAGCCAGAGGATGTTGCTACAAGGCCCCAGCGCTTTCCTGGGGAGAGCAGAGGGAGGAGAATGGAGCACTGGCTGTTCTATCCCAGGGCAGGAATGAAGGGATGACCTCCACAGGCAGGATTACAGGGTCTCCTTCCCTCTCTCCACAGTGGGACAGCTCCACTCCATGCCCTCCCACCTCTTTAACCCCTAAAGAAACCCCAGCACATGCAAGGCCAAGGGGTCCCCCCAGTGCTGGGTCCCCACATCCCCATCCCAGAGGCAGCCCCAGGACCCACCTCAGCCGGGGGGTGGCCGTCCCCTGTGCCATCAGCCAGGTCGGTGCCGCGGGTCTCGGGTAGCAGGACACAGAGCAGCCCCCCCAGCACGGGGGCGCTCCCGAAGATGGCCATGGGGATGGCCCGGTGGTGCTGCCCCAGGAGACGGACCAGCGGGGCCAGGATCGCGGCCACCCGCGCAGCCATGGAGCACAGCCCCACGCCCGTCTGCCTGTGGGGCCGCAGGAGGTGTGGGCAGCGCTCAGCACCCCAGGCCACCACGGGGCTGAGCGTGGCCATGGGGACAGCCGGGCTCCTGCCCCGTCACCGCTGCCAGCCACGGCAGAGGGGAGCTCGGATGTGTGGGGAGAGCTCACCTGACGACCGTGGGGAAGAGCTCGGCAGCATAGACGTAGGAGGTGGAGAAGGAGGCTGAGGCAGCAAACTTGCCAATGGTGGCCAGGACGGTGGTTGCCACGGGCTGGTCTGAGGGGAGGAGGAGATGGCTGCTATGGGATGGGAGAGGGCTCAAAACTGCTCACAGATGGAGAATGGGGATTGCAGGGACATCTGTGTCACCTGCAGGGAGCCACCGCCTCTGACAGCGTCTGAGCATGGACCAGGCTGCTCTGGCCTGGTGGCCACTTTCACTGCACTCTGCATCCACCACCTCACCTCCCCAGGTATTAATTTTCCCAGAGCACAGCTCTTTTGACAGGGGCTCAGCTCTGCCCTCCACTATCGCCATCAGCAAGAAAAGTTTGGGTTTTTTGGAATGGGCCCATTGGGTTCAGCCAGGCCCTGTGGCCCAGCTTGGGCCTAGAGGGGTGTGAGCCACCCTGGCTGGGAGGACGGGACCAGCAAGGGAAGGGTTTGGCTCTGTGCCTTCCTGTCCCAGAGGATGTCCTCTCCATATGGGACGAAGTTGTTCACCTTCAGGGATGCCGGTGATGATCAGACACACCAGGCCACTCAGCACCAGGAGAACAGCCTGCGTTTTCCTCCTCCCAAACCTCTGCAGAATGAAGATACAACCAACACGGGCTGGGATTTCCACTGCTCCAAAGGCCAGCTGAGTCAGGTAGATGTCCAGGCCAAAATTTGTCACGTTCAGACTCAGCCCATAGTAGACAAAGCTGTTCACAAACCTGAAAGGCAGGCAGGGTAGCACTGAGCAGGTGTTAGCCATAAGGAAATGTAGCACTGATCTCCAATGACAATATTCTGACTAAGCCACAGCATTTCCAAGGAGATGTAAAACCAGATGAATGCCACAGGCCTGCCAAAGCTGGAAATCCTATAACCTTTCCCAGAAAGCATCTTAAACAGCCAGAAGCAGAAACACCCATCAAATAACACTCAAAAACCCACAAGGTGAATTCCTTCTTTTGTTTCAGATAGAAGTTTGGGGAGAATGCACCAGGGAATGTCTTACCAGGCACATGACATGATTAAAGTCACCTTCCGCAGGTGCTTCTTCTGAAAGATATCCAGGAAACTTCCAGACTTAACCTCTTTCTCAGGCTTCAGCTTCAAAACACAGGAAGTCAAAGAGTCAGAGCAGGAAAAGGAAAGCCATGTCCAGCTCCTTTGCCACCTGCAGACCATGGAAAGCCTCATGGACAGGCCTGTGACCCCCAGAGCTCTGGGAGGGAGGGCAGCCCAGTGGGGCTGGGCTGGTGCCTCTGTGCTCTGGGTGCCCAGCACAGAGGTGGTGACTGAGAGGTTCCTCAGGATGAACATTTCCCCGGTGTAGGAACCTTGGGGTGGGCAAGGAGGGAACTCCCTCCCCTTCAGGCACTTCTCCATGGAAACCCTGAGACTAAAGAGACACTCTGTGCTCATCAGTCACACTCTTGGAACCCTGACAGGAGAGAAGCCAGGGAAGCATTTCAGTCCTTCCCACATGCCCAGGGGGACCCCAGAAAGCTCCAGGCTGAGCCTCAGCAGAAGCTGGGCCTTTTCCCTGGCCTCATCCCCGTGTGATGCAGCAGGAGCTGGGGTCCCTCGCAGCCCATGGCCAGAGCATCCACAGTGGGAACAGAGAGACGTTTGTGGGATGAGCTGAGCTCCAGGGGCTGCTGCAAGGCCCAGGGCAGTGTCTGAGCACAGGAACCCCCAGTACCTGCTCCAGGAGCTCTGGTGGGAGGCTGCGCTTGTTGATGGCTGCCGCCTTCTGCAGAACCTTCTTGGCTTCCTCGATTCTGCCTTTGGTCACCAGCCAGCGAGCTGACTCTGGGAGCACCCTGCCAGGAGGAGGCCAGGACATGCTGCTGTGTCCTGCTGAGTCCCCCCACAGCCCCTTTCTCTGGGACCATGTCCAGCAAGCCTTGGCCACCACAGAATCAGACCCAGAATCTTCTGCGTTGGAAGGGACCCGCGAGGATCATCAAGCCCACCTCTGAAGTGGATGGCCCATGGGATCGATGGGTCTAAATACCCAAAATGTATTTAGGGTAAAATTTAAATTTAGGCTCTACATTTGAAGACCTGAAGCAAAGCAGCTGCTGCTCTCAGCAGTCCAGTGCCCAGGGAGATGTGCTGAGCTCTGCAGCAGCTCCTCCAGCACCTGCACTCCAATGGGAAAGGCCCAGCTTGGTTCTGAGCTGCTGCCAGCTCCTCATTCCCACCCTCACACTGCTGTCATATCTGCATGAACTCTGGCCACATCCTACTTACCCAATGAACAAGAAAAAGGCAAATATAGGAGCAGATCCTGCAATTTCCAGCAGCCTCCAGTTGCGAATCCCATAACTCAAACCAGCCAAAATCATCTGCCCGATGGCGAAACAGCAGTGAGAAGTGAGCACTGCCTTTGGCCGGGAGGAGACACCGATCCATTCTGTAGCTGAAAGGAAGAAGGAAGGCTCAGAGTCATCCAAATGATTTCCCTTGAGGCAAACAGGGCGTTTCCCTGAAGAATTATTCTGCAGGTGAGGATTAAATTGACCTCCTGTGTTGGGACACTGTCCCCTTGCCCTCCTCTGAGCACTGGCTGGGGAGAGATGCTCCCCAAAGCTCTTACTGAGGCCTGAGAAGTTGCCAAAGTACCAAAGGACAGTGAAGATCAAGACCTGTCCTCATCAGCGTGTTTTTCTAGTCAAACATGAATGCTTTTATTTCTTTGAAGATTTTCTATTGCATCTTGAAATGCCCCAGGGCAAGGGCATCCTACTCACCTAAGGCCAGTATTGTCATGGTGATCCCTGACACAGAGGCTCCCACGACACACCTGAAGGCCATGTACACATAGAAATGGGGCACAAAGGCAATTCCCAGGCCAAACAGGCCCTGGAGGAAGACGGAGATCAGAATGACCGGGCGGCGGCCAATCCTGGAGAGAAACAGGGAAGACACAATGGAGACACCCCATGGGGATGGCAAGGAGCCCAGCAGGTTTTGCAGTGATTTTTATCACCCTGATAAGGCTCAGAATAGACTGTGGGGTGACAAGTGAAGCACTGCACACTCATGTTGTGTCTCTCTCCCTTCCCCTCCCTGTGTGGCTGTGCCCTCGTGGGACCTGAGGACTTTGGTCAGGGTCCCTGTCAGTGAGAAGTGGTGACAAAATGCACAGGGTGCACAGTCCAGACAGGCTCACACCACCTGGTCTGTGCTGTGCTGGCTTTGCACAGATCCAGGGCAGGGGGGGTTGTGGCTCCTCACCTGTCACTTAGAGGCCCAAAGATCATGGATCCCAGGAGCAGCCCTACCATGTAGATGGCCTGGGCAATGTCATTCAGGTCCTTCCTGTCACACACCAGGGCAAACTGGAGAAAGGAGAAACAGATGCTTTGGTATCCCCTTTTCTGAGGATGTGAATTCCCATAGCATGCACAGGGCACACAAGTCAGAAGTGGGACAAACCCTTGGGGCACTCTGTGGGGTCCCTCTCCTGTGCACTGGGACCTGCTGGAGTCCCCCTCGTCCAGCCCAACCATGGGAGCCTCCTGGTCAGAAAATTTTGCTTTAGGTGGGCCTGGGGATAGAAGCAGCAGCTTCCTTCCTGCCAGACCACCTGACCTCCCAGAGGAGAAAGAATGGATGCAGTGCTGATTCCCGGGACAGTTCCTTTCAAAGAGATGTTCTGCAATTGCCAGCATCCAGAGAACATCAGTGGAAAGAGAGACACAGGAAGGATCATAGAACCATAAAATGATTTGGGTTGGAAGGGCATTAAAGATCATATAATTTGAACTCTTGCCATGGGCAGGGCACGTTACACTATCCCAGGCAGATTAGAGCCCCATCCAACCTGGCCTTGAACACTTGTAGGGATGGGACAGCCACAGCTTCTCCGGGCAACCTGCGCCAGGGCTTCACCACCCTCACAGCAAAGAATTTCTTCCTAGTATTTAATCTAAACCAACTCTCCTTTATCTTAATTTAGCATCTTTTTCAGCTAACAATTATGATCTTGTCTTGGATTAGATGACTTTTAAATGACCCTTCTGAGCCAAACCATTCCATGATACTAAGTTGGAAAGGTTAACCCCCATATGGAGAGGGATGGGGAAACCCAGGGGCAGGAGGTCACTCCAGGAGCGATTCATCTCCCCACTGGCACATGTCAGAGCCCAGACCTGTCCAGGACTACACCTGGGGCCTGTGTGGCAGAGCCAACCCACACCTGCTCTAAATCCCAACAGCACCATGGTCAGGCACCAGCTCTGGGGGAACTGTGGCCATTTGGGTGTCCCATCCCTTCCACATCCCAGCACATCAAACAGCAAATACAGACCTCGGTGAGCAGGGACGGTGGCTGGTCTGAGGGGTACACCCAGCCATTGATGCACTTCTCGGTGTCATTCAGCCCATAGGCCATGATGGACTGGAGGTCCCAGTCCACCGGGGAGTACATGGAGCACTGCTCAAACTCCCCGTCCGTGCCCCGGGGCAGGGTGAGGTTCAGCTGCTCTTCCTCCGTCAGGTTGGGGCCGACGGCGCGGATCCAGCTGGTGTCACAGTGGTGAGGCACAAACGGGACCATGAAAAGCTGGCAAAACTGGTGGAAAGCCACACTGAGGCAGGGGATCACAGAAAGCAACACCAAGCATTTCTGGAATCGCCCAAAATCACCAACTGCTTTCAAAATTTCCCCGACACCTGACATTGGTGGCTGTGTTTGGGACAGGACAGTGCCGGGACAGACTTCCCAGAGGGCTGGAATTAATGTTTAAACCTCAGATAAGCTCTGCACTCATAGGCAGTCACTAGAAGTACACCATGTAATATATTAATCATTCCTGTGCCACCCACAAACATCCAGTGCTGGCTGGAGCAGAAGGACCCCTGTTTCAGGGAATCTCAGCCACCTCCTCTGCCAGGGCCAGGTGAATGGACAGGGAACAGATTTCTCCACAGTGACTGCAACAGCTGCATTTGCTGAACCACTCAGGAAAGCAAGGTTCAGAGGGGCCAAAACGAGCCCAGCATGATACAGAGCTGGGAATGGCCCAGAGGAATAAAGGGAATTATGTAAATGGATGGGCAGAACCAGAGATGAGGAAAGGCAGCCAGTTCATTGTGATGCCAGGGGATGGGAGCTGCCATTTCCTTTACATTTTGCATCTTCCCTGTGCAACACAAGCAAACAGGCACAGGATGTCCCCCATTCCCACCAGTTCTGGACCACCCTGCAGGCTGCTGGGGGTAAATGCAGGGAGGACTTGGAGATGGGGTAAAGGGATGGGAGAAATTTGACACAGGGCAATGGTGCTTGAGACCCAAATGCCTAAAATGATCATTGAGAACTGAGTCCAGCACTGCTCAGCCCATCCCTCATGTAGGAAAAGCATTTGCCTGGGGCCCCTTTGAGATGTCCATGAGCCACCTGAATACTCCTTCTGCCCACAGATCCATAAGAAGGGCATTGTAAAGCACATTGGAAAACAGACCATGGATGCCCCACTGGGGTTGACCAGGGCACCCACAAAAAACAATCATTGTGGAGAGGAGGTAGTACAGTTCATGCTCTCACTGCTTGTCAGGGTATAAATCCTCCCACTTTCACACCAGCCTGTGTCATCCTGAGGCATTCCTGGTCAGGGGAAACTCATTCCCTGCTGCACAGGGCATGTAGAGCTTGGAGCAAACATCTCAGCTGGAGACAAACTCCCAGGACATCATCCTGAGTGCCCTCCTGGCACCATTTCTGCACACAACTCCTGCAGAGATGCACTCATGGGAATGGTTTGGGTTGGAAGGAACCTTAAAGCTCATCCAGTTCCAACCCCCTGCCATGGGCAGGGACACCTCCCACCAGACCACGTTACTCAGAGCCCCATCTAGACTGGACTTGGTCTCCCTTTCCCCACTGAGTCTTCCTGGGGGCTGTGAAACCTCCCACCGCCCCAAATAGAAATGCCCCAGCAGTTGTAGACACCACTCAGCCAAACCCTTTCCTCAAGACACACCATCCAACCCATTGACAAGCAAACCACACATCAAACACCTGGCAATGGACAATTTGTTCTTTATTGATTAAAAATTAGACACATGCAGTAAAATACAAAGTCCAAAAAAGGAAAAAAAGCCTGACTATTTTACATCTTTCATTATAATCTACAATACACCAAAGTTGTGAAGAGGATCCGTTTTCATTAACAGAGCATTGTCCTTAAAAGTAGGAACTAACTTAAAATTACCACCTGCTTCCAGGTTCTGATCAGAAATTTGCACAAAAACCAAATTCTTAATGACACTGGAAAACAATTATGAACAGCATTGGCACTTACTGGAACAACATCAGAAAAGACAGTTGTCTAGCACTGTAATAGCCCAAGTAATTATTTTGGATCCCTACCCAAAAGATCTGGAGATCTATAGAGCAAAACCCATCAGCTTCTTCCTCGCTTATTTTCTCCATTAAAGAACTACGGAACCTTGGGTTAGCATGAGCTCAAGCTCTCTTAGTCTTGGCTTTGGGAAAATGGGGAATAACAATAAATAGATGCTGCATTGTTCCATTTGAGCAGTTTGAGTCCTAACCTTCCTCAGCACCAGTACACAAATGAACGAGGAGGTCCCCAGGGCATGCAGGCAGAGGAAAAATAATACTGTACCACAACTACCTTGTCTCTGTATCCTAAAGGCTCCCAACACATCCACACTGAGCACAGGGTGACGGGAAAATCAAGGTGCCAGCCTGCTCTTCCCAAGCCAACAAGCTCAATAGGGGACACCGTAGGGAGTGCTTTGTGTCAGGCAACAGGGAATGGTGCCAACACACACCAACTCCCTGCTATCGGGCACTCGCTTCCTGGGCTCTGGAGAGCATCGGCTCAGCACCCTGGGATGATTTCACTCCCAAATCCTCATCTTACTCTCCCTCCCCTTCACACTCATCCAGCCATGGGGCTGCAAACAGCCCATGGGGACACACCCAATATCCACCCAGAGGCTACAAGCAACAGGGGCGGTAAAAAAAGAACATGCACAATTCAGGAAGCTTCCACAGCTGCTCATAGAGAACAAGATATAAATACAGATTGTTCATCTGAAGACATGGAAATTAGAAAAAAAAAAAAAAAGAAAAAAAGACCAACAGAACAAAAGTCCTAATTGAACCTAGTCATTCCGCTCTGTTTCTGCATTGTTTGTGTCTGATGGAAACAAAGCACGTTTCCATCTGTGTGTTAAATTACAGACTTACAATTTCTGTGTAGAAAACACTCCAGAGCCAAGAGCAGTTACAAAGGCCAACTGTGAAACAGTAGGAAAAAAAAAGAGTCAACACCATTTATTATTCACATATTGCATTACAAGTGTCTCTTATCAAACTCAGAGCATAATTTATATTATTCATGTAGAAACTCAACTTCAACACCACATGGAAAGAAAAGCTAAATAGGTGTGTGACAGGGGTGCAGTGACATCCTGATCAAACGTCGAGGCTTGGGCTGGCGCGCAGCCCGACGACCCAAGGGATTTAGTGCAGGAGGGACAAACCCAGCGCCCGCTTTTGCCCAGTACAGCCACTCTACTGGTGATTCTTTATTGCTGTAAAACACGACAGGGATGGTTCCACGGGTACCAGCTTGCAAAGGACTGGGGAACACGTTGGGAGGCCAGCCAGGCATGACCAAACTGGGTTTCAGGGACACTTGGAAGTGCATCTGTTCCAAAGGCAGAGTGACATAAATCACCTCTCCCTGTGAGCGTGGATACTGTGTTCATCATCTGAAAGACCAGTTTCCAGGCAGCAATGCCTCCCTGGTCTGCTTCAAGAACAGACTAAGTCTAAGATGCAGAATGAAAGCAGCAGGAAGGACTGCTGAATGTAAATTAAAAGGTTCAGCCCTCATGCCATGCCTGGCACTCATGTGGAGAGAACCAAAATGATAAAGAAAAAAAAAATAAAATTAAGGCAGTTTACAAAGGGAAGCTGACTTCTGACACCTCAAAGAACTTCTCAAAAACACAAACACAAGGGAAGGCAGCTCTCCCTCCTGTGAGTTAAGACTCCGCTTGCATTCTCAGTTGCAAGCATTCAAACCAGCAGTTTTAAAACACACAGCCAAAGAGAAGCAGATTTCTCAGCACTCCAGGTGACCCAAACAACATGTACATTGGTGTTTCAGACAGAAGGAGAAGCAGGTAAAGAACCAAAAAAAAAAAAAAAAAAATCCGTTCAGTATTAAAACTTGTGCAAAAATAGCAAGTGAAAAAAAAATGAAACCACATGTAAGCAAACACTTAGGCAAGATCATCAGAGCAGTGGAACCCCCTGCTTCGTACTCAGTAGTATTTTTCTTTAAAGTAAGGCAATAATAAAACGAACATGCAGGCAATGATGTGTTGGGTCTGCATGTTTGAGATGACAGATACAAAAACATGAGAGTTGTTTACAAAAGGTGTAAACGTCATCGGTAATTTCAGGAAGGTTTGTGATCCTATTAAGGAAAATGTTAAAGCTTCTAGGAAGGGGGCTGTAGTTCAATTCTTTGGCAGTAGTGGTTTTTTTTTTAGGCTAACAGAAGCATTACGAATATGCACATGTGGGTTCTCTGTTGGGAAGCATCTCCTGGGACCAATGTTTAGCTGATGCTGAGCTGTGCAAATCCTATAAGTTTGCCATCATCTGGAATTTCTGAGCCGTCGACACCAGATGCCTGAAACAAGGAACAGAAATCCAAATAGCAACACACATGTTCTACCTTCCAGCAGAAGCCACAGGCAGGTGTAGCAGACAGGGTGAGGGGAGGAGACAGACACAGGACAGCTTTGCACTGTATTCAGCAGCTTGCACTACCCAAAGTTAAAATTGAGTGCTTTTGGATTTTTGCTTTTCTTTTTTATTTTTGAAGCTATGTAGGGCTGGGACTGAAGTTTTACCAGTGCTCCAACTGGACATTGTATGATTATAGTTGCAAGAACTGGGGCAAAAGAAGTGAAAACTCTTTACAGGAAGAATAAGAAATAAGAGCACTTACTGCTTCGCTTCCAATAACCGGTTATGCCCTTGCTTTGCCACTGTAATCCCCCTAAATTTCACCACCTCTGAAAGATTCACCTGCTCTACTCTCAGTTTTGGCTCTCTTCTTTGCCCCACTACACTTTTATTTTCCTTTTTTCTTCTTCATTTCCCCATTTCCTCCTCAGGGACAATGTATCTGGACTCTCCCTCATTCTCTTCCTCCAGGAAAGGAATCTGTGGCAATTCTTAGCCCATCCACATGCCTTGAAATATTTCTGCAAGTGCAAATCCCAAGCCCCAAAAATACCCCTTTGCAGCATTTATATACATTAATTAGCACATCATCTCATGCTTATTTATCCCAGGTGCTGCTCAGAGGATACAAGCAGGGAGCCTGCAGTGCCCACAGTTATACAACCAGTAAGAAGCTTTGGGAAAGAAGGGAGGATTTCGAGTGCATACATCAGGTGCCTGCAGTAAACATCTACATGCAATGCCTTCTCCTTTCAAGGGACAGCTTGATCAATTAGGGAACAGGAATAAATACCAGTCTGAAAGTGATGGATCTGTTTGCCTGGGGCTCTTCCACAATTTTCTGCAAATTAGCTGCAACTGAAATCACACAGACACAAAGAAAATGGGCAAATATTAGGACAGGCTGTAGAAAAGCATTCCAAACTCATTAGTCCTCTTTCTATTACTTAACAAACTTTGAAATTTACACAAATAAGGAAAGGTTTAGGTCTTAATTAGATTCAGTCTACTTAAACCTAAAGCTTTGAACTATGAAAACGCTGTTACTGTTACTACATTAGTCTTTCAGAGGTAGTTATTTTTCCCAGGATGTGATGGGATCAATAGTAATAATGCCCAACTGCATCTGGAAATCCAGTTAATTTTGCACTAGCTGCCTTCCTGTGTACAAGGAACAGCTGTGCTTGCTGCAGTTGGAATACACAGGCAGTCTGACAGTTAAAAGTCTCACCTGCTGCACAGGAGGATACATTTACTTAGCAAACTGCTGTTTGAGGCAGCTGTTCCTCCCCATACAATTCATGCTGCTGCCCCAGGCCATGTGCACCTCACACTTCCTTTCCCAGCCCTAATTAAACCCAAAAAGCTTGGCTGATTCCAGTCCCAGAGCTCTCTTGCACAGGACCTGTGAGCAGGACAGGCTTGTGCAGCAGTTTGCTGATGCATCTCTTTTAGATGATAATGATCTGGCTAATGAATCAATTAGACTTCATTCTGCATTACAAGGAACATTTGCTTCACAGTGTTACCAACTAAATCATCTTCTTGTGAACTGGAGGTTGCCTACATGTTGGCACAGAACTGTCACCAGAATTGACAGCAGTTGTGCAGGGCCACTGGGGTAGAGAATCAAGGCCAGAGGAAATTTTCTTATCACCCACTAATCAGGTCATTTTTAAATGCAAAAAATGACTGGAAAAGTTAGAGAAGAAAAAATATTTTGTAATTACCTATTACCAGATCTCTGCCATCAACAAGACCTGCTGAAATGAGCTCCTGAGACACACCATCTGCAGTATCTGTTGAGGAAAAACCAAGAGCCATCACCACAGAGCAGAAACTGTCCAGCTGGTGAAGGCACCACAGAGAAACCTAAAAGAGCTTGTACAAACCAAATAGCAGAAGTGCTCTTTATAAAAGATAGACACCAGGGTGCACACCAGGTGCTGTGAACTCTGGAATTCACTGAAGGGCTTCACTTTAGCCATATCCATTTGAGTTCTACAGGAGTGCTCCAAGCCCAACCACAAC